CAAATAAATTATTGAACTGCCAGATAACTAATCTCAACTATTCACTTGTGTGCATGCATATTTTTTCTGTGAGAGAATTCTGATTCATTATAAGATTATTGATCCTTTATCATCTCTTCTAAAGCAGAAAGCCATGCATGTAGGATTTAAGGCTCTAGGCACCTTTTATATCAATAAAATTATCAATCTCAATACTGCAGGGATAAAGCAGAGAGTGAGACAAAACCAAGAAATGCTAATGTTTAAATCCAAGGAGCTTACTTTCATTATTTCTGGCTAATGTTTTAGGAAACATAGGCACAGGCATAAAGCAACTTGCACAAACATACACATCCAGGCAGTGACTTAGCAAGAAACAATGCAGGTCTGCGAGGCAGCTGGGGACAGTTTTGGCCAGGCTGCACGTCCTGTCCCTGCTATAATAAACATAGCAGGGTACAGATGCTGGGAAAAGCAACAGTTTGACAGAGGGAAAACCAGAAGCAGCATATACGAGTAGCCCCGAGTTGCTACAAAGTGGGCTGGAGAGAGTAGCAGGACTAGAGCAACTTCATTTCTTTCAATCACAGCTACTGCTGGAGATGATTTTAAACTTTGTCTACAACATGCTGTCTCAGGGTGCACCCCTCCCTCTTATCTCTTCTTTTCTTTCTCCTTTTCCTTTTCCATCTAGTGCCTGAAAAGCGTCCTGAGGGTTTGACAGTTTCTATTTAATCATTTCATCCTTCTGTATGGAAGACTGCTGAGCATCATACAGCGAAGTTACTACCAGACTGGAATTTCTGAATATCTGTCTGCCCTCTTATCTGCTTTGTTGCCAGACTCTTGATATCTTACTCCCCCCCCTCCCCCTGTGTGTGTGTGTGTGTGTATATGTTTCCCGTGTGATGCAGTAACAAATAAAAGTCCTAAATAACTCCCTTTGCTGTGGAGAAGAAAAAAAAAAAAAGCTGCATTTGGCCAACACCAAAAAAAAAAAAAAAGGCAGAGAAAGATGGTTCCCCAAGGTTTTCCCTTAGCTCCCAGTGTAGTAAGGGTATATTCAATTAAAACTAGCATTAGATTGCAGAGGGGAAGAAGAACTAGCAGAAAACCATTTTCTTTAGCCTTGGAGGACACAGTTCAATTCCCAGCTTGCTGCATTTTGCAACTCACAATCTGTTACGAGACTTCACAAAAGATTGGCTATGCTTTCTGTCTTCCACAAAACCAGACTCTTTAAATAAATCCATCCACTAATGTCTGGTCAAATGCTCAGAGGTGATGAAATTTCCAACTTATGGTTGTCCTACTATTTCCATAAACAAAGCAGGGACCAAGCGTCAGATAAGTCATAACTTCAAAAATAATTATTATTGCCCCTCATGGGCCCAGTCAGATTGTCCCTAACTAGGGTTTGTGACCAATTTATTTTTCCTCAGTAATTCCAGGAATTATTCAGAATGATCCCAAAGTTCATTATGGGAATCCTGGGTGAATCAAAACATTTCCCTGTCTTTTTTTAACATCTTCAAGCACTCGAGCCCTGACTGTGTGAAAGGGTATTAGGCAAACATGGGGCGAAGCTGAGCACAGATGTGAATGCCTCACCAGCACTACCCCGTGGTGAATGCAGGTGAACTGCTTCCACTGAGCACCCACTGCCTGAGCTACAAGTGTGTACATACACATAAACTAGTAAAAACATGACACACTGTAAAGTTACACCTTCCACAGGCCTATGGCAACTCTCTATGCACTAATATTCCACACGCCTCAGAAACAACACCGGCTTCTTTGTCAACACTCCCCTCGGTCACGACTGACAAACGCGTCTAGCCAAAGCCATAGGAGGAAGGGAGCACCACCAGCAGGTTGTAGGAAGCCATCTAACTGTAATCTGATGTACAGATTTTTGCTCTCAATAGCACATATGCATATCTGGAGCTATAGACATTCATGGGGTTTAGGGTACTTTGCAGAAACATCCAGACATCCAGAGAAGCAGCAGCGCTGTATCTGTATTTCTGCCACTAGGCCTTGCAAAAGGTTCCGTGATCAGAGAGCAACAGCCAAGTTGGCTGATGATGTTGAGGAACCATCTATTTTCTCATACTGTAGTCACGGCCACCCTTTGATAGGAAGATGCAGGCTATGCAGATCTAACACGCTTCTGGCAGAAGAGTAAGAAAACATGCCCTTCAGAAGCAAAAAGCAGAGTTAAACAGTAAGTGGTATTCTCACAGCCACTGACTATACCATCCATGGCCATAAAATTAGCCTAAATTAATCACTCAGGACTTGTGCAGGAAAGACCCACACCCCACTAGTATAGCAAAAGCTTTTCTGTACGCTCCAGACTGCACCTTTACAAATTTTCAGTATTTGTCTAAAGTGTGATTCGTAGCAGTCACAAAGTTTTAGGAATGATACTATCTCTTCCTAGGTTCAGACTGCCAGTCAGCATACTAGAAATCATTGTTGTCAGTCATTCCCAAACACACTGGGAATCTGCAATTAGAAACATTAACAATGGGATTTCGCAGATGTAGGTTACATGCTTTCAGAAAAGAAATGGCAGTTCCTGGCAGTGGGGAAATACTTAAGAACTACTTATCCCCTAATTAAACAAGGTACTGTACTCTAAGTGCTGAATGCTAAGCAGCACTCTAGCATGTGCTCATCTTAACCCTACGGAAGCATGCTGAATTACTAAGGTTCCATCTGAGCATTTCTTAGCCCAGGCTCCTTGCATAAACAGATGGAGCAGTTCTGCTGTTCCATGCTGACACATCCAGACTGTAAAAGTACAGGATTAAGTTGAAATTTATCATCAAATCACTTTAGATAGGACGCTGTAATCTTTATATCCTTCTCAAGTACGACAAACAGAACGACAAGGCTGTCTGCGTTGTGTTTAAAATAGGCAAACAATAGTTGAAACGGTTGGCAAAACCTGTTGATTTAACTGCTACAGAGTACTGGCTGAGGCCAGAGTAGGACAGCCAGCCCCCAAGACCTTTATATTCCCTTGAAGACGGGGATAATCCTCACTAGATGCATTTCCCTGTACACATTCATACATCACGTAACTCCCAATGGCGCTGCAGACACCAAGGAGCACCATACTAAAAGGGTAATCTCCTAGTTATGAGCCGAATAGCAAAATCCATGAAGAAGTGATGAACGCAGGTAGAAATGATGCTGGGATATTGCTCTGAGGAGTCACCTATGAGGGATGGCTGGCAAGTGGCAGAATATGCCAGATTTAGACTGGTTTTCTCTCTCTGAAGCAACACAAATTGGTTGGAATAGATTCCAGGAGTGGGGCCAAATTAGATTTGGCTTTTCAATGTAGACTGGTGAAGGATTTCATCATTAAGCATTAATTAATATCACTAGAACATTTTGAGGGTTCCAAAGCCCAGATAGGGCATAAAGAGGAAAGGTCACCAACAAATCTATGTCATAGTCAGTGCAAATACACATCTGTTAATTCCTACTCATGAGAAGTTGTCCCCCAGATTCCAACTTCCATAGAACATCGTCCCTCAAAGACACCGATGGGCTGTGTCTCTATCAAAACCAGAATAAAACTTCAGAATACAATTCTCAGACTCAGGTCTTCACACATAAACCAAATGCCTGAAGCTTTAACCCAGACATCCTGTCAGAGAAGTCTCAAACTTCTCCAGTGTTTCAGTACCTTGAACTGGAGAATGAAAACACGCATTTTGAAACTGCACTAAGATTTCAAAACCTAGAATGAAAACAAAATCATTTGAACAGCCTTGCGAATGCACCAGAAGGCGCATGCCTTGCTAGTTTGAAACACAGAACAGCCAAGTGCCCAAGTGTAGTTTTCCTACTCTGAGTTTAGCAACGAGTGGTCCTAAACCTGCAGCTCCACTGTGTAAGAGACTGTCTCAAGTATGACCTTGTTAAAATTAAAGCAGTGTATTTAAACACAATTAAATTCCATTTAAGTGTACTGATCAGCTCTCTGCAGTTACACATTCTGGTGCTTGCTCTCCCACTGGAAATCTATATTCACCTTGCATGCTTCTTAAAGTACAGATCAAAACCTTTCCTCAGCCATGGACCTTCAGAAGCTTGTGCAACCTTTCTCCTACAGCTAATTTTTTTTTTTTTTTTAATGGAAGACTTTCGTTTTACGAAGCTACTGTTGGAAATACAATGAGAATGCTGGCAGCTGAAAGTCTAATGACCAAAATAAGACAACAGATCAGTAGTTTTTATCATGGCTTCTTTATACTTCCTTGAAGTTGCAGGTCTGTAAAGGTACCAGGTTTAATTGTCTAGTAAGCCACTATCTTGACTGCCTCTCTCCTAAATGCCATGACACAGAAGTGAAGGCTACCTCACACTGCCTTTTGTTACTTTCACAGGCGTGAAGTAAACAATTCAATCAATTTGTGAAGCACTTTTTCCCCATGGTACGATGTCAGTATTACACTGAATTTCAGAAGTGGAAAAGAAAGGACACAGCATTCAGTACGTAGAGTGGAACAAAAATCACTAGTGAACAAAGACAGGGTGTAAACATGTGTGGCCATTTGTGTGCAGATTATATAGTTTAACACGTAACAATATCAGAAAAACAGACCCATATGAAAATTTAAAATCCACAGCATAGAATTCATTCCCACATTCTTAGACCTCAAGCAAGCGTGAAGGTTCTGTAAATTCCAAATTACACATTTAGACTATGATTTTCCATTTTCAGTTATGGACAAGGTGTGGTTATCCAACATAATGTACAACACAAGAACCAGCCAGTTTTGATATCTTGGCTTCTTAATTTGAGTCAATTCATTGTCAAAATTTAGCATTTACACCTGAAGGTGTAAAACAACTTTCAAAGCGGTAATACCAGGATTGAAGACTGATTTTGATCTCTCTGCTAACAGATTAAAACTGCTTACAGTCCTAGATGGCACATGTAAATATCTATCAGCATCTCCTTGGCACTTTCTTCTAGTCCATTGCATTTATCTTACCTTTAATGCACCGTGTTTTTCATTTGCTTCAACAATCAAAATTTCTGCCATATCCTCAGCATGCTCAGACCGCGCGTGGACAAACAAGGCTCTGCCAGCTTCTGATACATTCTTTAGCACAACTAAAGACCCGTCACGTTCCACCTTAAAGTCTGGGTTAGAAACTTCGAAGTTCAATTTGTTATTCCCCTTGCAGTCATCAAATTTCACTGGGAGGGGAAAGAAAACAAGAAAAAACACAATTATAAGTATCCACTTTGGAACACAAACTTCAAACATGTTCATGTCATAGGCTTGTCTACAGATCTCGGGAAGAAACATCTCCCTGTCTAAGGGGAAAAACTCACAAAGAAGCTTTATAGAATCATAGAATTTTTCTGGTTGGAAAATACCTTTAATAGCGAGTCCAACCATTTATACTTGTGTGACTATAATTCAGAGACAAATTTTATGGATATACACTCTCAGAAGGATGAAGAGATTTTGACCATGCCAAGTGGGGAGTAAAGGAGAACAAAACACTTTGGACATGAACATTTTGTGATCACTCAAAGGAAATGCACAAAAATGCACGTCTGATTCTACAAATTGAGCAGTAGCAGTAGAGACATTGCTATCCTCCACATCGTAACACAGGACCTCTAAAGGCTCTTCTGCTGACAAAGTGGTTTCAGACATCCAGTAAAAATATTTATGCTTGAAATTGGTTGTTTAAAGAAACTGGTTGTCAACTTCACAGTCTGCTGTGTGTTACATAACAGAAAACCCAAAACACAACATTTCTTGCTATCTACCAGGATTGTCATATAGTGCATGAGCTGCACTATCAGTATAGCTAAGGATTATGAGAATTTTTAATTAAACAATAGCTGTCAATAATCCCATTTCATTTTACATGGAAGATTTAAAACATTTAGGAAGACCAGCATAAAGAGAAAAATGTCTCTAAAGTACAAAGGTTTGAGACTTTGCCCTGAGTTCCTTCTGAATCCAGTAGATTCCCTTTTCACAAAATACTGAGAACGTTAGTGATGTACCTACCAGCTTTATGCTTTTAAAAGGTTTTCATGACAAAATCTTAATTATTAAGTAAACTTTCCAGGTTTCAGCATCTCTAAAGAATGTATTTGTGTGTGGAGTATTTTTGCAGACAATCTGTTCTATGTTCCCTACCCACTCCTTGAGTTACTGCTGCTGTAGACTTCTCACTTATCTGCATGCTCTCCTTTGATTTTACATTTCATTTCTAATGGATCTTTAAAAACCACATTACACTTTCAGAAACAGATACAGACAGGGATACAGACTACAGAAGTTCAAAGACAATGGAATTTTACTGAAAAATAAAGCACTTTGCATAGCTGCTTAAATTCACTGTATAGATTTGTTGTATTTGGTCATTGTTTTTAAAGGAGGAAAAAAAAAAAAAGAAATCCTCTATTCTCTCACAGCCTGGCCAATACATACTCAGGAAAAACAGAGGTAATACCTATAACTGGTCTTAAAACACACACAGGATCTCACAGTGGATGGTGTAATAACGTTCCTGGGAAGTTACACAAAAAAGCTCTTCAGAAAATTCTGCACCTATTTCCAGACATAGCAGCTTGAAGACAGAGCTACCAGAGGGCGGCATGGAGATCCTTTCCTACCTCTCTAGGCAGTCACTGGGATTGAATCCCAAAGTAAAGCCACCACAAGGAAAAAGAACTCTTGCTGGTTCTATAATTTACAACTTCATTTTATGATGAATATTGATGAGAAAGTTTAAAAATCAACCAGAAGTAAAAATCTCAAATGTCCAAACTTCAGTATAAGGCACAGAATGAGACATGTGACACGATTTGCCAAATCGATGGTGGTGGGTTGACCCTGGCCTGCACCCAGACACCAACCTAGCCGCTCTCTCCCTCCCCCTCCTCAACAGGATGGGAGAGAAAATAAAATGAAAAAGCTCACAGGTGATATAAAGACAGGAGAACGTTTACCAATTACCATCAGGGGCCAAGCAGATATGACTTGGGAAAAATTAATTTCATTAATTGTCAATTAAGCTATATTTGGATGGCAAGGAAATAAAAAAAACACCAAAAAAAAAAACAAACTACACCTTCCCTCCCCCACAGTTTTTCCCCAGGCTTAGCTTCACTCCTCTGTTCCCTCTGCCTCCTCCCCTCAAGCAGTACAGAGGGACGGGGGGCAGAGGGTTACAGTCAGAACCC